GCTGGTTCTGTAGAAAGTGGGGGTGGGGGGATCTTGGAGGGTCCTGGGCAGACCAGGGTAATGGCCAACATGGGTTTTAAGGAGAGCAATGGGCAGTCCTGTGTTGTGTGAAAACCAAGTGTACAGGCCTCTTGACCTACTAGCATCTCTCCCCATGGCCACATCTCCCATCAACCAACCACTCCTGTCTGATTCATCTTTGTCATTGCAAGGTCTGGGAGAAGGTCAAGCAAGGTGAGTGGGTGAGAGCAGAGGCCCAGTGTCCAGCACCTTCCACTGGGGCAATGCCTGAGAGAGCCCTCAGAGATGTGACCCCCAGCAGGCCAGCAGGTAAAGGGGCCCAGGGCAGTGGTCATGGGCCAAGCCGGTCTCCCCAGCCCAGGCTCTCCCACTGGGCTGTCATGGGCGGGGCAGGGGGGGGGTGGTCTGCCCCTACAAGACAGAGGCATTCTAACCGTTTTGGGCAGGGAGGGGCTCACAGATGACTCCGGGCACTTCCAAGTGCTGCTGATCCTATCAAACAGGAGCCAGGATTAAAAATAAACTCCTGGCAAGCAATGGAGACCCACCCCACCCCCACCCAGCTGCCCTCTATATTTGATGCGTCCCTCCTGCCTGAAGGTTAGCAGGGATTTGGGAGACACTGGGATGGGATGAAGCTGGGATGGGCCAAACCACTGCAGGAGGCCCAGGTCCCTGGGGACGTCCACCCCAACTTCCCCAGAGAGGCCAGCAGCACCCAGGACCCTGGGCTGCCTGCAGACCAGCCCCCAAGCAGGTCTGAGCTGCACCCAGCCGCTCCTGGCTCACGCGCTGCTGTCAGCCCCGTGGGAACCAAGTCACCCTGGGGTTAGGCTGTGCCAGGAGGCCATGCTGCCCAGGGCGGTGGCCACTGCTGGTGGAATGCAGCATCCTCCCTGAAGGTCCAGCGTGCCGGCCCCCGGCGGGGGTCTCAGGTGGTTTCTCCAAAGTGCCTCTGTGTCCCCAGGATGGGCCCCATCCACCCGCAGGTGGGCTGCCTGCAGGGCCCTAGGGGCCTGGCCCCTCGGCCGCCACCGCCCAGAGATACTCGAGCTCACTTGGACAGGAGAGTAAATAAGGTATAATGAATGCTGAATAACAACACGCCAACAGTGCTAAAGAAGCCCTAACCACTGCGTAGCCCTGAAAACTAACAAGTACCACCTACTGCATAGTACTTAGTAAATACTGGCCATTGACTAGTGCTGAATACTAAATACTACAGAATCCCAGTCACCAAGCCCTGCGAGTTCACCAAGCGCTGGGCGGGGCTACCAGGCCGCTGAGCACCCATTGACCAAGAGTCCACTGGACACAGACAGGCAAACCACGGCGCCCAAGGTCACAGCCAGGGAGGGCAGAACTTACAGTCAGCTCGGAAGGCCTGAGCCAGGCCCGTGTTACTTCTGGACAGAAGCCAAATGGGTCCCACCTGTGCTCCTCCCCTCCCCCTCCCCCTTGCCCTCCTTCTCCCGAATCTAAGCCACCTGTCACAATGGCCCCCATAGCAACGAGGGGTATGGGTGTGTGTGTTGGGGGGGTGGGATGAGCAAAGAAGAGGCCCATCAGCCTGGTGCAGCCTCACAGCCCACCTTCTGGGGAGTAGGGCAGGGGGAAGGGGTACAGGCGAGCCCCATTAGTCCCCTCCCGATGCCCCCAGGTGCCCCCAGCCATGAGCTGTTTGGGGAGACACAGGCAGCCCCCTCTTTGGCTGGCTGAGGTTTCATGAGCCTGGGGAAAGAAGATCCAGCTAAAATTAACCGTTATCAAGCTGTCAGCCTGGAAATAAACCCTGCTCCTATTGGCTGCCGGTGATGTCACTGCTTGGTTAATAATAACCTGTGAATGCATAACTGACCACCTGCGCATGTGCCTTCCTGTGGGGGCCAAGGCCAGTGGTCACCCTGGTAGCTGCTGCCCAGGCAGTGGCTTGGGGCAGGGTGGGGGTCAGGGCTGAGAGCACCCTCCAGCCTTGCGGGGGTCTCAGAATGACCTCAACTCCTGGCCTGGGGTGCCAGGCTTCCCTCTGACCCCAGGACTTCCGTGCTCACCCTCCCGTGTAGGGTCAGTCTCATCTCATCTCCCAGCCTACCTGGGCAGCACGACCCAGGACGGCCTTGGGGACAAGTTCCTCCTGCCCCCAGCTCCCCGCCGGGGAACTGAGCTGCCCGTGAGGCCGCAAATCAAGTGTTCTCCATGGCGAGGAGGCGCTCTTGGCTGTTGAGCTTCCCTCAGAAAAGTAAGATCACGGCCCCAAATCAGAGAAGTCCTTGCCCTCCCCCCAGCCCCGCCTGCGGGGGTGCTGGGCGGGGCCGAGCCCTGGCGGCGCGGCGCGGCCCGGGGGCGGGGCCGGGGCTGGAGAGGGGGCGGCGGGCGCGCCGCTTGCACCCCAGCTAGACCCCAGGGTTAGGCAAGGGCCCCACCAAACGGCCAGCCCAGGGCTCGGTGCCTGGGTCAAGTGACTTCCTAGACAATCCAGGCCCCCACCAGGCCACCCTAGGAAACCCAGGGAGTCTGGGAGGGTATGAGGCCGACCTCTGTGTGCCAGGGAAGCCCAGGGAAGGGGACGGAGCCCCTCAGAGAAGGGAGAGGTCAGCCCGGCCTGCCCTCTCCACCGCCAGCACTTGGGCCACAGGAGCTGTCTGTGGCCCCGTGGGTACCTGCCCAGCGCAGCAGGACCTGTTGCCATGGTGACAGAGAGCCAACTCCAGGGCTCCACCCCTGCCCAGCGCCCACCTGCTTCCAGGGAAGGGGTCTGGCGGGCTTTGCCCTCTGAGCTCCCGGAGAGCCCCGGGCTCCAGCCTGGCAGCATGAGGAGGGAGTGGCCAGGCCCTGCCAAGAGGTCCACTGCAGGCTGCGGGGCCCCTGGAGAGCCCAGGAGAGGGGCCAGCCTCTCCATGGTGGGACAGAGAGACAGAGGGAGAAGCTGGGGAGGGTCTGCAGGCCCACTGCCCTCTCCTCAGGTGGTGGAGGCAGAGGCCACGGTGCTCAGCTCAAGGAGGAGCGTCTCCAGGTGGGACTGCCCTGGGGAGCCTGAAGCTCCTTAGCAACTCTGGACCCTATGTTCTCACCTAGTAGATAGAGCATCCCTGCACTGGGCGACTGGGAATAACCTGCCCGCAGAGCAGGAGGCCTCGTGGGTGTCCTAGGGGTGACAGCACCGGAGGCTGTAGGTGGCATCCTTCTCCCCATCAGTGGTGGAAGCCCAGAGCTTCCCCTTCCCCAGGAAACACACACTGGCCAGACCGAGGAGTCTGGCCCTTGTCTGGGGAGGAGGCCGGGGGGACTGTCCTTGGGAATACTTAGAGAAAAGTGCACGAATGACCAGTGTACCTGACCACCCAGATAAGAAATAAACACCCCCTCATGCCCTCCAAGGTGACCGCCGTCCTGACTTCCTAGACCACAGATCACGTCGTCTGCCTGCAAACTTCATAGGCATGGTCTGTGCAGTTTGGATCCTTGTGTCCAGCTTCTCTCGCAGGCCCCCGGGTTTCAGACGTTCCTCCGTGCCGTTCGTCTTCACTGCTTGGTAGCGTTCCACTTCCAAGTTCGAACTGCCACAAAGCCGTCTGTCCCCCTGTGGATGCACTTGCGCGAGTATACCCCAGGGGCGGAGCTCTGAGCCACTGGCTGTGTGTGTTCCTCCAGTCATTCGCTTACGGCCTCTGGGCTCAATCCCTGCCCTGTGCTGAGGGACAACGTTGAGCATTTCTACTTTACGGGGAGCAGATGCATTTTGTAGGGCAGGCAATGAAGGATGAACTTATAGCTGAGAGAAAATTGATACCTGGCTTTTTTTTCTTTGACTATAAGGAAATTTTCCTTTCTTTGCACATCCAGTAATTTTTGGCTGAAGTCTGAAGACTCTGGATCCTGTTCTCTTCCTCTGAGGACTCTTGGTTCTTGTTTTAGCAGCCATTCGATCACTGGACCTGTGGGGCTTGTTTTCATGCTTTCATGCTGGTCTGCAGAACACCCCGCAGGTCTTCCAAGCCCCTCAGGTCGGTAAGATTCAACTTTTAATCTTGGTCCCCAGCTCTTCGTGGGGCTCAGCTTTAACGTTTCTTAGATGGTCTTAGACTAGACATTACTGTAGGTTGTAGTCTTTTCTCTCTCTCTCTTTTTTAAGTTTTTATTTATTTAAGTTATCTCTGCACCCAACGTGGGGCTTGAACCCAAGACCCTGGAATCAAGAATCACATGCTCCATGACTGAGCCAGCCAGGCGCCCCTGTAGTCTTTTCTCTTAAAAACATAAATCCAAAAGTCTCTCCACCCTAGCTGAGTCCAAACCCCAGTGCTGCCCAGCATGGCTTGTCTTCGGGTATTTTGGTTCCGATCTCAGCCAATGATAGACATAACCTAATTGTCCCCCCAGGATCCATGCCCTGGAATAATTTCTTCCCCGTGAGTGCAGAAGGAAGCTGTGGCTTGCATCTAGCCAATGGAATATGACAAAGGTGGTGAGCCCTGACTCCCTTGATTGGCCTCCGTTATTTAAGACTCTATCTTGGCAGATAGACCGGAGCGAGGGACTCTCCTACCAGCCTTGAAGAAGTGAGCTACCAGGATGTGGAAAGGCCAGTAGGGGCCACATGTCAGGAGACTGTGGGCAGCCCCTGAGAGCTGAGAGTGGCCTCTAGCTGTCCGTCAAACGAAAGTGGGGACCTGGGGCGCCTGGGTGGCTCAGTTGGTTAGGCGGCTGCCTTCGGCTCAGGTCATGATC